AGTAGTAGTAGTAGTAGTTGTAGTAGTCGTAGTAGTAGTAGCAGTAGTAGTAGTAGTAGTAGTAGTAGTAGTAGTAGTAGTAGTAGTAGTAGTAGTAGTAGTAGTAGTACAGCAGCAGTAGTTGTAGTAGCAGTAGTAGTAGAAGTACAAGTAGAAGTAGAAGTAGAAGTAGAAGTAGTAGTAGTAGTAGTAGTAGTAGTAGTAGTAGTAGTAGTAGTACTAGTAGATGTTGCTGTTGTTGTTGTTGTCGTGGTTGTCGTGCCGTAGCAGTACAAACTACGAGGTACAAGGCTTGGTCTTCTGAGAGAAGGTGATAGCACTGCCTGCCCGACACACACAGCCGCTCAACGGGCGGGTGCCGGCCCGTGTCGGCTGCTATAAGGGACAGGTGCCGACAAGATGTACGTTAAGTACCCCTTGGTCTGCCCACGGTCGACATCCCAGTGCATTGCAAAACAAATCCTGCAAAATGAAATTTGCAGCACTCACGTCAGTGATTATACGGTATATTATACGTGATTGATGGTTCCCATGGTTTTGTACTGTCCAGCCCCTTGTCGGTTTTCGTTTGTTGCAATCCCGGTCAATCCAGATTACATCATCAGCTGGGGGCACGAGCATTCACCGACTTAGAGTCATAGGCAACCTGTCCCAAGATGCTAGAAGTACTTTAGTTACCCGCACTAGTACTCCATTGTACAGTGCCTAGCGGTGGTATGCTTGTGAGATACAGCATTGCTCCCAAGCACTCACAGTTGCAGTTGCTCATGATGATACTGTTAAGGCCATATGTGAGCTGCATGAGTGGTAGGATTTGCCAAACCCAGCCGATGCAGCACTCGGGCACCTTGTAGCCGATTCCAAGAAGATGTGGGACGTCGCAAGTTGCCCAGCTCTTGACGCAGGAAGCCGTGTTTTCAAGATACCTGGGCTGCTGGTCAGAAAGTTTCGACGAGAGCTGGTCCACAGGAGTCAAAAAAGGTAAACCAGTGGCACAAGCAAGTTTATCTACCAGAGTGAGCAACAATGCCGTTCCCAAACAGGCAAAGGATACGGGCCGTGGAGCTCCATCGTGGCAACGTGCGTCACGTCTCCTCCAGTGAGACCTTCAGTGCAACAGTTGGAGCACCCGGCCAACACTCGTGCTGCAGTGCGGTGCTACAATGCTACAAGTGGCAAGTAGCAATCAATACATCATCATACACTCTAATATACTTATAGTACACCATAGCATACCAAAATATACTATGATATACCGTAATAGGCCTATGGTACGCCATAGTATACCATTGTATACTAGAATGTACCAGAATAGACTTATAGTACACCGAAGTATACCTTCATATACAATAGTATACCATAACAATAGGCTTATGGTACACCACAGTATATCATGATATACTATAATATACCGTAATGGGCCTATGGTGCACCATAGTATAGCATGATATACTATAAAAATACCATACTGGACTTATGGTACACCATAGTTTACCATAGTATACTATAATAATCCGTATGAGCGCCTTATAGTAGACCAGTGGTACACCATGATAGACTATAAGAGACTTATAGAATTCCAACGTCGGCCTGGGCCCACTAGCCTTCTCTGTCCGCCAAGGCTCCACCACATTTGCAAATAATCTTGTCACCCGGTTTCCAATCGCGCAATGCCTTTCCCAGATTGATGAAGGTTTCAGCAGCATTGCCGGAGGATCTATAAGATATCTGCTGGGTCGAATTTGCCGTGAAGTTGCAGGTTTGCGGACACTTGTAGTCCGACTCTTCTGCATCGATAATAAGTCCCATGTCTCCACCCACAATGGACGTCTTAGAAACGTCCAGAAGACAATCTAGGCCTCTGCTACAATTCAACCTCAGCTCCTCCATAACATCGACATCGTTGATAATCAAGCTTTGGAGTATGCTGGTTTCCGGCAGCGTTGCGGTGCTGTTGTCAGACAGCGAGGCTTTAAAGCACACTCTTTCCTCCGCCTCTTCCTCTGCATCCGGGTTTATCAGGAAGAACAGTGTATTGTTGCTCGAGTTTCTGCCAGTGCAACACTCGGGCCACTCCATGTCAATGCCAGCTTGAAACTCCAAGTTCCGGAGTACGCACTTCTTGCCCGTCTCACCATCTTCCCACACGAGCGGGCCAGTAAGAGGCACACTCCAAAAGTCATTGGGGCCTGCGCGGTTACGCTCTGGAACGATCCCTGGGCATTCTGTGTACTCAACAGTGAGCTCTGTTGTTCCGCTGGCTACTGCTCCCGAGCGCTCAGCCCACATAAGGCACTCCATGTTCCCAAATCGCTCATCCAGAACAATCGCCGAGGGTGAGATCTCAACGGTCCCGCCATCGTTGTCGTCCCGGATAAAAGCCTGCGCGATGGCTTGCGCATGCAGCCAGGGCTAGGTTCATACTAAGACCACCTAAGGAAGCATCCCTTGCAAGCGCGACACTTTCCCACGAAATTGAAGGCATGTGGGGTTGCTATGCAGATATTGGCCACAACCCCGGGGCTCCCTGCTTGGGCTGTGGCTGTGGATTGCTCTGCACAAGATTCGAGACATTGACATATAATATAACACAATATATTATAATATATTATAATACAATATAATATGTATGTATATAAATATATATATATATATTATATTATATATATTATATATATTATATATATATATATATTATATTGTATTAAAATTATAACAAACCGCAGCCATGAATCTGTGGTCTCGGAAGCGGAGCTGGCATTGGCCGGGTCTGCATCGATCCCGAGATTCACAACCTGAATCCACACCGATGTGAGGCTTGTCGTAGCAGAAAAGAACGGTTTAGGGTTTAGGGTTTAGGGTTTAACATTTCAGCGATGGCGAAAGTGAACGGTCCCACTCATCGCTGCAGACTCAACCCCGTTCGAATCATTAGACAGTCGTACACCACACCGCGGAAGCTTCTGCCAACGGACGGCAGCGCTGCATGGATATGAAACAATGACAGGATTCTCTCATCGAGCGTAGCGGGGCCTACCGCAGCTAAGATAACGAAGGTCATGTCAACGCAAATGGAGCCGCAGGCAATACTGCGAAACAACCATGACTGCTTCTGGTGTGTAAATCAAGTTCGGATTGGAATTCCAAGGACGAGCTTGGAAACTTTGATATCCGGGATCAGACCACAATCGTAATCTGTTTGAAGCTTGAAGTGAATGCGTTTCGACGGCCCGATTCATCGGCTGTAGGATGTGGGATTGGTATGAAGTTGTGCGTTGTTTCGCTATGACTCTTCGTAAGGTTTGATAGAGAATCACGTCCAGTTTTAGATTGCTGTGACAGCATGCACATTCGTTTCAGACAAAACCTCGGGCATTGATAATGACATGGGCCTAAGGCATCAGGAGAGTGGCATACGGAGCAATGACAGCATCCGAATGAAACAGCCTGAACAAAATGTAGATATATCTCGCCGCAGCTAGTCTTAACCATGGCCCCGAAGCTTTTGTGGTCTCGTAGACGTCATTGTTGTATATCACAATCAGCATCGCTTTCGGATCCAAATCGCCATCCTGCCACGTCACGGAATCCTGGTAGAAGTCGAAGTCGACTCCTGTGGAACGCGTTCATAAGAACGTCGGACACGGCCATTACCCGAAATTGCTCATGAGAGTACATTGCCCAGCGGATATCAATCTGGCCGGTAGCGAAGGTAGCGAATTCCGCACACCGGAAAAGCAGATCTACTCTTTGGCGCTACACTAAACTTTTTTGCGGACGTCTCCGCCCCTGCCTTGGACACCACTATTGGCTACAGGCCATGCGTTCGTGTCGCGAGGGGCTAGGTGGCGCTGTAGGTGCTGCGCAGGCGCAGGGCGCACACGGGGAGCTTGGCGGGCGCGGTGGCCGCGGAAGCTCTCGGTGCAGGGGGAGCGCGCGGCGCATGGGTGGGGTGGGCTGATAGTCAAAACTGCAATGGCACCAAACACCTGTGAACAGGCATACTGTCGCCCCACCCACATCAAGCACACGAGAATGTTACTGAGTCATAAAGCACAGAACTATGCGGTCGAACGCTTTTGTAGTATCTTTGCTGACAGGCTCACCACAACGCAACACACTGATGCCCACGTCCACCTTAGCGCTGCGACTGTCTGAGCGCCGAGCCTTCGGTTGCATTCGTGCCCGGGAGTATCTTGAGCCTTGCGGTGATCGTCCCGTTACTTCCACCCGTTCGGCCCAAGCCAACATAGTCGTAGTTGCAGCACCGCCAATTGTAGAAGAACTGGCATCCCTCTAATGCATCCACTTGCCTCGGCAGAAACCTGACAGTGCAGGTCGAGCATGCACCGAGAACAGGACTACTGCAGACAGCCCGCTGCAAGAAGCCAAGTCTCCCTATCTCACCCGTTTGAGCAAGTGCGCAGGGTAGAATCAGGCACAAGCGCCAAAAGCTCATTGGCAGCATGGCTCTGCTTGGCTGCCCTGTCGTATAAGCCGTGATGAGCAGTTCGCGCTGTGCTTGGATACTTGCAATTGGCTTTTTGGGCTTTTGCAGGCTTTGGGAGGTTTCCCTTGTCGGAGCTTTCATTGTGGGGAGCCACAACTATCACCAGCATTTCTGCCCCTTCAGGAAACATGTCAAGTAAGATCTGTGACGGAGCTTGTTCCCCGAGCATGCGAGCTGTATACAGTCTGGACCACATGTGGGGCATGTCCCTTCTGAAAATGAGGCTGACATCAGAGAGCACGTTCTCCTTGCCGCTCCCTCTTACAAACACACAAGAGCTTCCGCACTGCTGCCCAGAAACCACCTCTTCGCTGCCTTACACTGCTACCATTAATGTGCAATCACCATCGCTTGCATAAAACCCGTAGCTCTGAAAGTCAAAAGGGCTCGACTAAATCGAGCACACGCATCAGTGGGTGGCTGCCCAAAGAACTGTGTCTCTAGATGCCGTTTGTTTCCAAACATGCTCACAACAGGGATACTTGAGACTGCAGACGGCACCTGCGTGGAAGGTCGAAACCCAAAGAGAAGAGAGTGGCTTTTGAATCTCATTGGTAAGGCCGTTGCTTGTGGACTGAGTCTATTCCATCCGTCCCCGTGGCGATGGAAGTCACCGGCGGTGCGGCAGGTATCTGCACAGCCGGATGGTTTTAAAGGTACGTCCAGACTTCAGAACACCAGCAAGATGCCGCGGCCTGGGTTTGACTTGCCGCAGATGCCATCACCTGGCATTTCAGAATAGTGATCTTTATGATATTTGCCAGGGCCCAGCATGAAAACCTTCAAAGAACCAGGCCAGCTGCTCCGGCTGGACGCTGCACTGTGTGCCGAATTCGGCTGTACTGCAGGATCCTGCGGCGTTGGCGGGGCAGGCGGTCGAAAGATTCGAAGATTTGTCTGTGAGTCTAGTCACTCCCAACATACTGCATAATCTGCTACAGTATCTGCGCAGGCAACACTGTGGTTGAAACGAAGGCTTCAGCGGTGGCAAAGCGTGCGGCGCCGTCCTCCAGAGTCACCTATCATGTGCTTGACCTGGACGTGTTCTGCGAAGTTGATGATCGAGTGTTGCGCTGTGCACTCTCCAACGACGAACATTGACATTCCACACCGAATCAATCAGAAGCAGCGTTCTCGTCCGCAAGCGAGTCGGCAGCACGGCGAACAAAGATGCCTAGTTGTTCGAGCAGCTTCGCAAGAGAAGCGCTGTCCCCGCGAAGCGGTATGAGTACTCTGTTTTGCTCTACTCGTTACCTGTACTACCGAGTTTCCTGAAAAGTCCCTCACGCCGGCTCTCGAACATCGAATAAAACTCAAGCTGTGGTCGTAGTGGTGCGTTGGAACACACTTCACTCTGCAGGGGTGACCGCAAGCTGACCGCAAGTAGTTCACACATGGCATGACTTTGACTGACCCATCATGCTGAAAGCCTGCTTGGAGCCAACCGAGGTGCAAAAGCCACGAACATGGAAGTTACAGAAAAGCGGGAATGACACCTTGCAATGAACGGGTGTTACTGAAGCTTGCCGGTTCTGTACGGAGGGTTGCTTCCTGTCCTACATTATTGCCTTCGTTGCTTTACAGTTTCTGGGCTTCTTGGCTCCGGACTTACATTCTCGAAAACAGAACCCTGATCCATGCTCCCACACCCAGCCACTATCAGTACTCACTATACAGTACCCCCCAACACCTTTCAGCCCATCCTGAGAGAGTCCCTGCATGTCCTTGCCAGGGAAATAAGGCTCTCGCTCTCACTAAGTGTCCGTTGCAAAGCTTTGAAGCTGCTCTCTCTCGCAGCTTCGATTTCTGCCGGAGCAACGAACAAGGTGTGGTGGCTGTGTCACGGGAGCGCTACTATTTGTGTGCTCATTCTAGTGAACACCAAGAATCCAAGAACATGAATAGGAGTTTCGGGGTGCTTGCCCACTGAAATACAAAGTCGTTGCATTGCCTCTTTTTGCCGCTGCGGACTGCTAGGGCCTCAGGGTCCTTCTTGCTAGATCAATCCTCCATGGCTCACAAGGCGAAGAGGGCAAACTCCGTCCAGTCCTTCGCACAGAAGTGCATTGCCGAACAGCTCAACTAGTCTCCGCAGTCCTCGTGGTTGATAGGGACAAGCTGGCAGAGCTTCCTGACTGTTCTATCTGCTACAGTGAACCGGCGCAGCGCTGGTCCGAATATCAACCAACGTCCCAAAGACTGCCGACTGCAACAGATGCACACTGCTGCTGAACGCGCAGTTGGCTTTGGTCAGTTTCAGCATTAGCTACTCGTCCCAGGTGTTGAAGACTGCCAAACAACATTGGCCTCAAATTGAAGGGCGGCAGCGAGAAATCGTACCTCACTGGACATTTCATCCGGCTCCATGGCGTAAAAGCAGGAGTAGGAATCAAGCACCACAAGGTGCATCAAGCCTTTATGCAGCATTCTCCCACGGCAAGCTGCTTGAACACTTGCTGACCAGGCACGGAACATAATGGGCATGATGCCCCTTAGAGGCCCCAAGATTGTTTGGAGCTCCTCTGTGGATGTTCGTCACGAGGTACCTGCAAAGCCGGAAGGCATGCAAGAACAGTCTATGTAGTTCCCTAAACCCTAAACCCACAAACCCCTATATAAACCCCTAAACCCTAAACCCCTAAACCCCTATATAAACCCTTAAACCCTAAACCCCCTAAACCCCTCTATAAACCCCTAAACCCTAAACCCCTAAACCCCTACGTAAGCCCAACCCTAAACCCCTAAACCCTCTATAAACCCTTAAACCCTAAACCCCTAAACCCTCTAACCTGCCTGGAGGATCTTCGGAAGCATCTCAACGCCTGCACCGCGTCCTCCACGAACATGTGGTTCAGTGTCTCCTGTCTGCTGAGACAGGGCGCACCTCCTCTTCAGTCAGCCCGTATACCATGGTTGTGCCTTTTTTCAAAATAATAATAATCATCATAATAATCAAAATACTACTAAAAAATAATAACTACTACTGAGTCCCACGAATTCTAACTCTTTGATGGACCTAACTTGGGACACGGATTCTTTTGTCAGCGAGTCGAGCCCTGAGCGATCCGATCTCTCCTTGGAGAAGACCACGTCTGCTTGCGGGAGCTCGGCGTTGGAGCTGCAGTCCGCCGCTAGGAATCTGAGGGGATGCACAGCATGACGTGTTGTCAACGCACTCGAACATCTCCCGAAACAGCAGAATACGTCAGCATGTCGCAACCGAAAATCTGCCAAGCTGCCGAAGGCAATGTACTACTTAATTAAAGGATCATGGGACGTAGTAACTAAGATTATTAGAGTAACTATACTTATGACTATACTTATAACCCCAACTAACGTACTTTTAGCCATACTAAGTCCCATGATCCTCCAAGTACATTCGAGCTTCGGGGAAGTTGCCAGTGTGTCTTGTGCAGTCAGCTGGCCGCTGGCTGCCCAACATCTCGGTAGTTGTCAAAATTATGGTCCCTTTCGGGGTACCCTAAATAATAGGTGCCGTATTATAATCCCTAAACCCTAAACCAAAAGGGACCATAATTTTGACGTATTAGAATAAGGATCCAAAAAGGGGCCATAATTTTGACAACCACCCATCTGAAACACCTCTCTTCGCCTCGTCTCCCGAGTAACCCCAAGCTCTGGCCTGTGGGATGGAAAACTCCGTTGGTTCTCCTGGGACTCAGTAGTAGTTAATATTACTATTGTTATTATTATCATTATTATTATTATCATTATTACTGTTGTTATTATTATTATCATTTCTATTATTGTTTTAATTGTTTCTATTTTTCGCTTTATTCGCAGGCTGGCATTCGAGACTCTGACAGGAGGCGGGCCTCAATCACATGCTGCACTATGTCGACGCCGGTGTACTGGACCTCAAGTAGGGGCACGTTTAGGGTTTAGGGTTTAGGGTTTAGGGTGCAGGATGTACGGACTTCTGCGTTCCGTCTGCATCCACACAGCCGATTAGCTGCAGCCAAGATGCAGGCCTCCTCGACAGGACAGCTGCGACCATCCTGGCCACAAAACAGGCTCATCAGAGCATTTGTAACAGAACAATTTGGATTTTGTTTTGCCGGCCCAGTTTCTGCGGGCGTAAAACCGGGAGAACAACAAAAGCGGCCCGGGCAGGCCAGGCTGCGTCGCCGCAGGCCGCGTCCAAAAGTGATCGAGCTGCCAACCTTACGCCATCTCTGACTTCTGAGTCTGAGGCTGTTGGCTAGCAGAAGTGTCGCTTGTTGCGCCCTTATCAAAGAACCAAGGCAGGCATTTGTTGCTGCCAAAGCTGCAAGTCCAGAGCCATGTCGATTGCTGTCACTGCGATGCGCACCATCGGATGGAAGGGGTCAGACCTTGAACAGCAATTCACACATTCAAGGCGACAGTGGGTGAAACAGCAATCCCGCACTTGTGAACAGCCTTCCGGAAGGCTTCTAGAAACCACCCAAGCAGGCGTCAATTCACACTCTCCCTAGCTAGCTACTGGGTCCGATAGCACAGCACCTCAACATGTTCCTCTAGCTTTTGCTACAGCTACTACGCAGCTGGAGTTCTGACGACAGACTAGCCATGGCCTCATGTGGATCAAACGACTGCACTAACATTGCCCCTCTCGGTAGTGCACTACTTGGCCAGTGTTTCCAATGATCCTACTCTGATGACTCTGATGACCATGCTGGCTTGCTTCCGCTGTTGTCAACCTTGTCCCATCGCACTAACCGAGATAACTCTTCTTTCCAGCCTGGGGGTTGAGGGAATCCAGACCGCATCGGAGTTCACAGCTCAGTATCATGGTGCGAGGTGGAAAAGGCATTGCTACCAGAAGCCAATTAAGTGAGCTCTGGAGCTGGTAGCAAACAACACTCTGCAATTTTCTGCTGGGCACGCAGTTGTGTTTTGAATGTGCCGAATTGAATGATCTTTGCAGACACGGGCGGTAAAAGAAATGAATCAATGAGGCTGACGCTTCAAGTCCCACAGCTTCGCTGCGGGGTCAAAGCTGTGCGCATTCCGTTTCAGCCTTTCTCAGGTCACGCTCGGCCTTGTACTCTCTCACCTCCAGGCTACAAAAGCTTGCGAAGCTGATAGGTAGATATGATGACCGTGATGAAGAAGATGATGATGATGCTGATGATGATGATGATGACGATGATGATGGGCCATGCGCTCTGCGAAGCTGTGGAAGCAAACGACGACTGAGTCGACAGCTTCTCTCCAAGTGCGGCAGTAAGCCTGCCGCAGGGCCTCAGCAGGGACATCTGCCCAAGGCCCATGCATCGCTCGCATTTTGCAGCAAGTTGGCTCGCACCTGCAGAGTGCCTTCAGCATCTGCCTGATCCCAGCGCCTCTGCACCTTTGGCTGATCCGCGTCACTGCGTGTTTAAGTCGGCTCCGCAAATCTTTCTGGCCGGTCAACGTCAGGGGCTATGTAGTAATTTGTTGCGGCAGCACTGACTTCAACAAGCATCGGCAGACTTGGCACCCTCTGAGCAGTCCCGCTGCCGTATCCCCAAAGAGGCCGGCGACCGTAGCAGCGTAGGAGCGCCCCTGTGGGGGTACGAGGCGACCGGGTAGTTCCTTAAATTAGGATCCGTTTACTTCAATTCGATTCCTTCTGATACGAGCGACTTTGTTGAGGACCCTGACTACCTTTGGACCCCCAAGGGCACGGAGAGACAAGTCCCACGCCTTGATACTGGCAACCAGCGCGCTGCCTTTCTCGGAAACTAGGCTGTTTGGCACTGTCCGTGCTTGGTCCCACCTCAGTCTGGTGCATCAAAAGGGCATGTCAACTCGTGCTTGGCGTCTCCACTTGACCAGGATATCTTGCCTCTGGTTGGCCTGAACTTGGCCCCACACCAGTCTATGAGCGATGCAAACGAAAGTGGTCCGTCGGCCTGCCACGCAGGCGCATTCCAGTACGTGGAGTGTATGTGCGGAAAGGAAACTATGCGAGACAGACTGCTGATGTCGTGGCACCGAGCGACTTTTTCCGGCTCCGCTAGCACTGCTGGCTGACTAGATTGAAGTGCCAGCGACGTCTGCATGGTGTCTCTACTCACTTGAAGGTCTCGCTGACCGGTGGTCATCTCCTTCAACTGCCAGACACAATCAGTCCCATGCGAGATACATGATGCGCTCCCTGTGGTTGTGAGTTTCCTGGGCGTCCATCGATGACGTTGACTCATTGATTTCACTTGTTCTATGGAAAGAAGATGATGTCAGCCCCTCACTCAACCAGCGCTTCCTTGCGATTCGGTGAGATACACACGCCGACTGGCGTTATGCACCTCATTAGTCATTAGTCGGTAGCCCGTACATTCTGAACGCGGGTGCTCACCTCTGTCCTGTAGCAAAGCAAATCAAGAAGCACTGTGACTATGGCCGAACCGAATGACAACAAACCCTTCATCACAGAGGAGACCAGTACCACAGGCGGTCCTCGGAGGGAGAAATCGTAAAGTTTCAGGCCGTCGACGTCTTGTACCTGGAGCACATCACAGCCCAGGCCAGCACATAACGTGAAAGCCGCCCTGGCTTTGAAACTTCTCGGCAGGCACCAGGCGCCGCTCCCAGCCGGGAACGTCAAAGAAGTGACTCACCTGAACCGAAAAGCAAGGCATTCGCAGGTCTACGCGAACTCAAGTCTAGCAGAAACATTACCCATGTAAGCAGCCTTTGGATCGTGACAGACATCCCAGCTCAACAGGACACCCAGTCATGTAAGGCGCACCACAGCTGCATTTGAAGGCAGCTCCTGGCTCACGGCGGTGACGCTTCAAGACTATCCTGGAGACATGTCTATGCGCTTGTGCGTGTCGGTCGTGTTTTCGTGGTGCATTATGCAAAAAGTGCTTGTGTCAGACTATCTATCTACCTACCTACCTACCTATCCATCTATCTATCTATCTGTATATGTGTATGTATATATATATATATACACACATACAGATATGCATACATATATATATATATATATAACAATATAATATAATATATGTATGCACAAATATACAAGGCACTGTGGTACGAGTAGGTTTTTTATCCGCAAGCAAGCATGCATGCAAACATGCATGCGTGCACGCATGAATGGATGGATGGATGGACGGATGGATGGAGACTGCATGCACGGCATGTGCTAGTACATATGGTTAAATGACGATGTTTGTATCTTAAACAACCTAACTGTATGTGGCACACGTACCGTACCGGTCTCACTGTTCATGCCTCATCTAGCTTCTTGGCTGCATGCTCCATGAAGGAGTCGCCAGGTCTTCCATACACCTCATGCTCTCGCCGCCTATCACACCACTACAACTTAAATAGCCAGACAACTAGACAGCATAGGAGGTGGCTCCAACTAACTACGGAGCTTTGGCGCTCACCGACGACATGAAACCGGATATGCCGTGGCGGCGGCGGTCACGACATCAGCATCTCGAAGATCTGCAGACCTTCGCAACACTCGCTATGCGAGTTGTCATGCTTCAGGAACTTCCGCAGCCTGCGGATTACCAGTTGTTGCAAGCGTATGTCCATCATGTCTCGCAAAAAAAGTCCATGCTTTCACGAAGCCACGCCGGATCATTCCTGGCGACTCTACGAGGCGTCCTCGACATGCTTCGGAAACCGACACAGAGAGAGAGAGAGAGAGAGACTGACAGAGACAGACAGGAACACAACACAAAGCGATCGAAACGACATTTCAAGAGGCCTGTGTTCGCCACAGCAAGAGACATACATGTGCAATGCACATCACCAGAGATGTGTCCTTGGGCAATTTCTTTCGAGCCCTTCTCAGCTTCCAAAACCTAGCTTAGGCAATTTCTTTTGAAGCCTTCTCAGCTTCCA